ACATTGTAGAAACAACCTACAGACAAAGAAGAAGACTCTTTTGTGTGTCCCAGAAATTGCTTATTCGTTGATGAATCTGATCCAAGTTAAAATTAATAGTCTCTCCTGGTTTGTGTGATTTTGTACAGCTGAGAGTGATCAAAATACAATTTCACTCTCTGGGTCGAGCAAGCCATAAGGAGCTAAGAGCTCGTAGCCGCGAGAAGTAATCATGAATTGCAAGTAGAGCACGAGCTGACTGTCGCGTTGTTAATACTCTTATCATCTGTTGTAATGTTTGTAGTCTCAAATTATCAGCCTGCCACAACCAAAGAGATATCATAAAAATCTTTTTTATTACCCTATGAATATATTCAAATTGCAAGTTTTTGTGGTACCTCGCGGATAAATCCTTCGAGTGTGCCTAACTTTCCCATCGCCATTGCCATCTGACCCATGTAGCTCGCGACATTCCCTGAAGAACTTGAACCAAGGGTTCCGCTCGATAAAGTATCAGCTAGAGACTGTTGTAAGCTCTCCATTCCTTGAGATAAAGCATCTTCAGCCTGCTGCGATGTCTGCTGCAAGCTATTTATGCCCACCAACTGTCTCTCTGTCATTGGCTCCATCTGATTTGCCAGAAGCTGTTTGCATATGTGACCATTTTTGTCTGTCAATTTTTTTGTTCCTATGTAAATGGATGAAACAGATGAAGAAGACATATTGGAATTTGACTTGACCTTGAGAAGTTCGGATGAACGGAAGCCACCGAGCCATAAGAAACATCTCTCGGCTGGTGTTTTCCACATGCCGGATAGCAAGTGAAATACATCATTCTTAGCTGCATTGCTCTTTATCCTGAAAAGCTCCTTATAGTGAGCCATCACACCATCAACTATTATTCGAAGCTCAGCATCACCTGCATGTGCATTCAGAGCAGACCTCAGCTCGTTCATTTGCTTGTTCTTTTCTTCCAGCCACCGTGAATGCTCAGCATCAAACGCCAAAGCGCCTGAAAGAAAAGAAGTTATTTATGATCAAGTACAAAACCATGAGATTCCCACCATCTTGGAAAATCTAAACCTACGTTAGTGCTAATTAGATGAACTGTTTTGCTACCAGAACCACTAACTCTGATAACACAGCGTATTGCCATAAGATGACGTATGATGTAACTAATTGATCAATCTACACCGAGCCGATAAGCAACCAACCATTTCCACAAGCCAGAAAAACGACTATGAAAACTAAAGGAGAATAAGCAACCAACCATTTCCACCAGTAGAATGGGCTTGATCTCCTGTGCTTGAAATGAAGACGCCCTAGAAAGGAGAAAAGTTCCGTTTATGTATATAGAATCACAAAAAGAAAAACCAAAATAAGCAAACGAATTTGCACCTGCTGTCTTGCTCTTTGCAATTCCTGCTCAAGCTGGGTAAGCTTCAAGCGGCTATTCTCCAGCTGCTGAACATACGCCTATGGAGGGAGAAATCAAAAGGACTTAAGGGAGTCTCGTATAGCTATGCTGCTCAGGCTGAGCCAGTT